TTTATCATAACAAATTTTGGTGAAACGGCCGAATTTTTGGTAGGGCAAAAATTTAAAAATAAATTTTGGTGAAATGGTCGAATTTTCATTAATTAATTCTTTATAGTTGGCTTGGTCTAAAGACCTCCTAAATTTTGAGCAAATTTTAAAAATATAGAAGTCATTATCTGTCCTACATTTTAAAAAAATGGCATTATTAGTTGATAGAATAGGTCTTTAGTTTTAATGTAAATAACAAGATTTTCTCAAAAAAATTCTTTGTTGTAGAGTTCTATTCTTTTTTAAAACATGTATTTTACTATGCTTGCTGAATTTGACCACTAAGATCATTGCTAAATTTAGACTATTTTTCGATCATCCTTACTAAATTTAGACTAATACTCGAACATCATATCTAAATTTGGCAGTAAGGAAAATAATTTTTTATCCAAAATCACGTGAAACCCTTTTTTTAAAAAATTTTATTGCATTTTTGAACGAATCACGAAACCGCTATTTTTGAAATTTGTCCACGTGGCGCAGCAATTGGAGGTCTTTAGACCGAGCCATCCATATAAAAAAATTTTTATAAAAAACCAAATATCTAGTGTTGTGAGATTGTAAATGAGGGCTGAAGAAGTCCCGAGCACGTCGATCAATCGGAACCAACTTATTGCGGCAGCCACGTGATAATGACATCATTTTCTATTTTTATCTTAATATTTTGTGTAACAACTACGCCACATACTGCGTCGTGTTACACATTACATCATTTCTATTTTTAACTTATTTTATGACATAATTATTTATTTGTAATAGTGACTCACAGGATTAGTCATTATGAGTCATAGCATTAGTAATTAACGATTAGTAAGCTAGTATTACAGAAAATAGGATTAATAAGCATATATTATTGGACAAAATATTGTAAAGGTCATGTTATTTGTAATACCTCAAGAGGTATAAATAGGCTTGGTTTTAGACCAAGTGAGAATCATCATGTTCATGATACAATAATAATAATAATATAATAATAACCTTGTGACAGAAATATTATCGTTAATAAAGACACATAACACTTTTACAATAAATAATTGAACTTCTAATAAAATCCTTAATAAACCTTTGCTGAAAAGCATACCCCACCTTAAATTAAGACCATACTAACTAAGGGACGCCTTAGTCAGACAGTGGAATATTTATTGATTATTTTTAGGCTTTGCCAGCAGTACTCCCGTTAGTACTGTAGAGAGAGATTGCGCAATAGAGAGGCTCTGAGCTGTGTGCCATAATCAGAGGTCGGAATTGAGAACCCTGAGCTGTGTGCCGTAACAGGGAGATTTATATATTGGACTTTCTATTTTATTTTACCTTATATATTGATTGGACACAACCCAAGCTGTAATTGAATTTACATGCTCGCAATACCTTCTAAACCAACCATCATTAATATGTGCAATGTGTTATTTTCCATTACATTACATTTGATAATATTCTGTTTGCTAAAACCTTTTTCACAATCTACACTAGAAAATTGAATTGAGTGCACTATTTTATAAGTTTTAAGATATAAATAAGACTTGGAAGTTTGGAAATTGGAATAATTTTTTTTTGCCATCCAGTAAATATTAATTATATGTTTGTTACCATTATTAATGGCCTTTTTGGAAAAATCATGCATAGTTATTCTTGCCTTTTCTAGAAGCAAAGCATCTTTATGTTGGTTTGAAAGTGCATGAGTTGCTAGAGCAGTAGATTTTGAAACATTCTTTGATCCTAAATATTAACATTATAACATTAGTAAATTAATAATTGCAAAATGCAAAATTAATTAATTATAT